CGACGACGGCGACGATGCTCTTGACCTGCCGGGATGATGTCCGCGACCTATGATGACCGTCATACGGTCACGTGCCTTATACGTCGGTACGGTCGTCGACACGTCATACAAACGGCCCCCTGACGGTGATTAATAGGCGTCGATATTACGCAGGAAGTTGTTGCACTTGCAGTACCTGCGAACGTTAGCCGGTCTGATGCCACGAGCGATCGATCGGATGGGCAAAACCAGCCTGTCTTTCAATAAGTACAATAAGATAATTCATATGGTAGACACGGCCGGTTGAACACGTGATTCCGACGCTTATTCTGATCTGCTCGGTGAATGGACTTGATGAGTGGTCATTTGTCAACGTCAACCTCGTGACTACTTGAAAAATGTAATTGTTGGTATTCTGGTGAATGAAATTCCTCCCGAAAAACATTTATTAATGAAATTGAATTGAAACAGTTACGAAAATTCATAAAAGCATTTTTCTAATCACCTAACAAAGTTTAGAGACCAGATCAGAGTTTAACTTCATTTAACTACGGTTGTCGAAGCCAGCCCAAGATCTTAATCTATCAAGCTTGTTATAGTTGTCCCATTTAAATGACCGCCCATAAAAAATGGATCTGCTACAAATCAGATCTCGACATTCACATCAGATTTGGCGAAAAAAATGGATTTGTACACAGAATTAGTTTAAAGGACTTCCAAAGTCATTCAGTCGACAAACTACTTTGCCTCGAAGAAGCACCATGAGTCATAAGTCGAAACGTCGGTATGGTGTTGGTCAATCATCCAGCTGACCATCTTGTTTGCATGGTGTATAAATTAATCGCGCTTTACGCTATTTTATTATGACCAACAACGTACAAGCGAATGACCCGATCTGAGAACCTGTTCAAAGTGGACATTGTGCCTTTGGAAAAAGTTTCAAGTGGAACCAGACGCTGGTTTGAAAATAATTTTCCATAGTTTATTGAAATAAATACATAATTTTGTTTAAATTATAATCAATACAAATTTCACAAAAACGGATTAATGAGTAAAAGTCCACTGTTCATTCGACACCAAGATGCACAGGGATCCTGCATTTGATGGTAACAATCCAACAGTCATGGCCGAAAAGACCAAACTTCATGCATTTACCCATCCTGCCCGCCGGCTTTATGAGCCCCCGTCACTGGAACCGGGTTCATGGTTTGAGTTCAAAAGCCCGACGAACATACTCATGTCAGGGTTCACAGTTACACGCAAGGACCATGTTTACCTTATTATAGAACAAGGGAAGAAACAAATAATATATAAAGTGAGGTACCCAAAGCCTAATGGTGCAACAGCGATAATCAAGTTAAGTCAGTGGTATATCTCCGGTTCTGTCTATTTTGTTGCCAGTTTGTTCCGCTATCAAGACCTCCATTATTTTCCTTTGTCTCCAGTTTCCCTCCTTCAAAACTATCTTGCCGGACTGCCACTGAATTATGTCATTTTTATTATGCTGCACTGTGGCACAACCAAAACTTTACTCGCTACTCTGTCAATGCAGGATATATGAGTTTGGGAGTGGCGCCACAAGTGATCTGAGGCGATAGAATCCCAAGGGACAATCTTGTCGTTGTAAGTTTCTTCTTTATACAGGATGGGATAGAGAAGGGATGAAATAGTGTTAGGTCTCAAAACCATATTTGCTAATGAATTGGTATATTATTTCATTTGCATTTCTTGCATAAGGAATCACATATAGATCACTGAAATTTAAGAAGTTGATGAATAGGCTATAGCTGATTCTGTTCAGCATCTAGACCTCCTTGCGGAACTACTCGACAATGGAATGTTTCGCAGCTGTTTCTTCTTAGCCTATCGAGAACATTCGCCCGTTTCTTTGGAAACAGATTTTTACCATTCCAGATTGTACAAACTCTTATCAAAAATAATTATCTAATTAGTCGGCTTCACTGGTCTTAATTCACCGAGTCAACGATATCACTGATCTCCGAAGACCGTGACGTTAAGCTATGGCATAATCCTGCGAGCTTCTATCCATGCGTGCCTTGCCTGCCTGCCTGCCTTGGTCTGTCTTTCAGTCGCCACCACCACCATCAAGGCCATTGTGAAACTCCGTTGTCATTCGTTGCAACTGTTAATGGAGCTCTGTGGTCGGGTACTTTGGCTCGCTGCTTCATCGTATAACCAAGCTTTGACGAATTTGACAGTCAATTATGTCGGTGACGGATGGAAATGAGCCTGGCCACAGTTGCATTCAGAATCAAGTCATGTAATCTGATGTCGAAAAGCTGCCTTATGATGTGACTCATGTGAAAGGTACAAATGACATTGGCATCCTTCTCGTGCAGTACTCAAATCACTTCTACGTCACAGAAGCACCTTTGACTAATTCAGAAAAAACTATTCACTTAATTAGAGAAAGAGAACTTGAATTGAAGATCGAACTCTTAAAGGAACACATGTCACACAATTTGTTTTTTCATACAATAGATTTTTTTGCAATTTATTACATCGATTAATATACAAGAAATTGTTTGTTTTGAAAAGTTTAGGCAATATTTATATGTCAGTCAATCAAACGTTAGCAGGTCATTCACGACTCCTCTGACCTCACCCAGTGTATAATATATTTTGTTAGAAACTGGTATATCGGGTCGCATGTGCTTACATCCCTCGTCTGTTGAAGCAAAACCAAACCACAACGTCTCGGCGCGACAAGGTGATAGCTCTGGCCATGTGACAGGGATGATTTGCGGAGCGCATTCTCTGACTGGTTTAACCATGCTATCAAGTGTCCGGCTACAGAACCTGAAAGTGACCACAGTCCTTCCGTTGAAGCTGGAAGTCAGCCGAAGTTCGAAGAAGTAAAAAAAATCATTACCAGCCCAGCTAGTGCATATGATGGCTAAGACAAAATGTAGAAATGGCAATCAACCTCATTATTTTGCATGTCCATTAGCACCATGATGGCAGCGGTGTAGATCCACCGACAATGAGAAACAGAAACAATGAAGAGGAGGCCGAAAACAATGTGAAGTGTCATGCCGCTGAAAAAAACGGATGGAAAATTTCATGTAGTGTTATCACTCTCCATAAACTACGAAGAGGCAAAAAGTTTGAGATGAAATGGACTTACGGCAGCAACATGAAATTGGCAAAAAAGAAGGTTCATAAGTCGTTGGAACAGCCAGCCGACTTCCTCATGAGCAAGGAATGGCTTTCAAGAGCCATCTCCCTTAGGTTAAAGTTATCAGAGCTAAGAGTGCTCTGTCTTCGTCCGATAAATGAATCACAGTCTGTAGATCATCTCAATTTATGTGCGCACAGTAAAAAACGAGGAACATGAGGTAGACGAATTCTGCCAACTTCAAAATGGAACACAAACTCAAAAAATACACAAACGCTCGTTTTCTAAACCTTCAAAGCGATCCAGTGATTGAAAAATGCTGAAAGTTTCGATGACTGGAAATTCTGGCGGAGACGACGGATTTATAAAATACATGGTTCGGTGAGAAAACCGGTAGAAAATGAACATGGCCACCTGGTGGAGGCTCTCACGAATGACAATGAGCGTTCATGACAGAAAGATACATCCGGCCAAAGCCGTCCAAATACGTATCCCACATTTTAGGCAAGATAACTAAGACGTCAAGGACGATCAGAAATCTTGTTTGCGTTCCATATATGTTTCTGCATGTAAGGATTGCTTCCAATGATGAAACTGAAGAGTCTCATAAAAGAACGATTCTGAAGAAAATTTGTTCTATCATTGGCCACTTAATGGTTCTAAATACAAGGAAACTAGCTGATTGTAGTTTAGACAGTAACTACACTGGCCATCTCCAGAATAAATAGTCACATTTTTCAATAAATGGTTATTTCGATGGAGACAAAGTAGACACGGAATTGAAATTAGTTTCTTTCCCTGGATACCTACTTCGGGCAGACATTCTATTTATATGTATTCAAGTGGCTGAGAAGTGAGAAGTCTTGCAATGAGTTCAGGATTTGCAGAAAAATGGCGTATTTATGACCATTCGCTGATAAATTTATATATGGCCATTAAATAAGGAGGATAGTCTAGCTGCTCCTTCAAA